ATATATATATATAATTTTTCGATTTAATTACTCATTGCACACAATCCCCTTTGGATTTAACGGAGAAGGGGTTCAGATATGCGGAGGTAACCCGTTTTCGACGAGCGCTACACTAGCAGAATTGCTTCTTTCCTTTAGCAGGCAAGGAATGACCTCAGCAAAAGCCAAAAACAACATGAACGACAAATTTGTGTTACTCTGCGGTACAGATTACATCATGTTGTTGTGATAAAGTAATTGTGTGGTTATATGAATAAATGAAGGCGAAGGTAATAAAATATGAGTGCAATTCAATGAATTTACAACATTTTTACAATATTCGCTGCACGACAGCCAAACCCTCAGTGAATGAAATTGATATTCAATAAAGATTTATGAAAGGATGGATGGATGTTGTCCCCTATCCGAATTAAATCATAAATCATTTATTTTCCTCTGTCTAAAAATGGTATCGTTCTAGTACCGTATCGCATTGATCAGTACTACTTTACGATCCTGCAATTATCCCCTGAAGAACAATAGCACTGAAGTTTTGATTTTGATTACCGTCACAAGGTGTTCGTTCCTTTTACTATCAGTCATTACCCTCCGTCCCATATATCCATCCCTGCATCAACCCTAATTACACGCCCACAACTCTCTGAACCACATGCATTCAATTGTCTTTTTTTCTCTTTCATCCTCTCCCACATGTCTCGTAGACACTCTCTACGACTAGTCATTAAAAAACGATCTTATCCTACCGTAATCCTCCTGAATTAACAATGAAAATGAGCAATTTTCTGAGAGGATATTCAGTCGTAAATGAGTGATTATGGGACATAATCTATCAATCGAAAATTGTTGAGTTGATGTATACGTCTGTTGGTGAATGTTCTTGAATTTAGACAGTGAACATTGAGAGTATTTGCATGAATTTAGAAGAAAATTGTACTTGAATTCAAAATATCGTATGTAAACAGCAAAACTACCAAATTCGGCATGAATGGTTAAGTTTACGATCATTTCTACCAAGCACGATATTCGACAGCTTGATCGGTATAACTGGACAAGTGAAGTATTGAATGTTGATGAACGCATACTGACACAAATGATATAGATTTATTTCCCAATAAAACTGAACTTCTTCAACCCTTCACATAACCCGTAACGATACCAGTTCCCTGCATGATCTTCCGGGCAAATTGTCTCCCCGCCTCTAACAAGCATTAAAACATTTCAAGCAGCTATTACTTATGTTATACAGACTGAGTTTTTTCCTGCTGACAGTTTGAAGAAGTTCACATTTGCTCAAGTTAGCTAAGTGAAAATTAATCCCCTTAAGTATGGTAAATTTCAAAAGATAACATTTATAATCTTGAATGAGTGGATGACGAGAACGTCCTTAAGGTGTATGTCAAAGAGCAAATGATATAAGAGGTGTGATAAAAGTTTTGATGCGAATCGATGCGATTGCGCAATGACCGAAGTGAAATGTTATGAGGTGTCGATGTGCTCATACCTAACGAATTGCTTATTGAGTTAAACCGCTAAGAATAATAAATAGCCTCTCGTTACGCAATAATCATAAACGGCGGCGGTATCCTCTTTACGTAACCAAATATATACAACATCCTCGAAATAAATCAAAACTCCATTTTATGATACACACTAACCCACAACTACATCTTTCTATATCGTCTTGTATCGATAACTTGATATGACGATCAGTCACATAATTGTTTATTAATAACATTACTAAAATAATATTTTATGTATCCGTACATGCGTACACAGATACATTTGGATCATTATCTGCACTAATCGCAGTCAATTATCTGAATATTATTGGTTCAACATGATCTTAGCGGTTTTTAATTGTTTACGTGTGTGTCGAGCATTGTTGACAGGCGAAAGATTCTGAAGTTTAATCACACGAAAAGAGGACTACGTAAGTTTGTTAGTTGTTGCGGACGTATACTTTCGAGGAGGTAATCTTTCGGGGTTATATTTTCATCGACATCCCCCATATAGTCAAAACACTTCACGCCATTGCAACTATCAAAGTTTCTAGTACTTCAATCGTTTCATACCACACAGGAATGATTGCGATCGTAGAGCCAAGTTTCTGAGGAAATTAGTTTCAAGAAACAAAGATAGCAAAACAAACCGATTTTGGAACCAAATCTTGATTTGTCGTTCAGTGAGTTGTAACTCGGTTGATAGTTGAGACTTTCGTTCAGAGTTTATGAATTGTGTGGTTCGGAACTCTTTTTCCAATTCCAACCGTTGGAAATCTGTGTACACCATTCGATACTTCTCACTTGTTCTCACTCTGACATCTGTAATATGTTGCAGCAAGTTTTTATCTCATCCGCAAACCATTTGTTCTGTTGAGATTATCACACTTAACTTAGTCATCAAACAATCTCTTCAATACACACATTTCTTGGAGAACAAATCTTAGNAGGTGGTGAAATTCGTGTTGATTAATAACTTTGATTTGCTGATTAAATAAATAAATAAATAATAACTTGCAGTATCCCGTGCTTTTCTAGGGAAGACGACTCATTTTGCATGCTTCGAATTCGTATCTATCTGAGTCGCATAAAAAACCGTGAAATGAGAGCGCGCGGTAGCGAAACTTTAAAACGAAACTTTGCAGATTGGGAGATCTTCACAGATCGATCAAAATAGATCGATCAAAATAAACATATGCAATCCAATACATTCGTTATGAATTCCGTCAAATGATCCCTGATTAAGCAAGAATAAGTCTCAAGCAACATGGAAGGTGATGATCAATGAAGCGGTTGTTGTTAAATGACTACTGTAAGTATCGTATCTAATATTTTGCGTTGTTGTATTTTCGAGTGGCACTTTAACCACTAATCCTGAACAAATACAACACCAATTAATGTCTCTTTCTGATGAGAAGGGATGACTTTGATATGCATATGCGCATATGAGATGAATGAGTAGCACTTATCATCCCTTTTCTATGGTGCCGTTTTCTGTTCACAGTCTTATGATGCAATCCTCTGCATCCAGTAAGAACAATATGGGAATAATCTATGAAAATGATAGTGCATTTTATCGTGTCAGTATGAAATTAACGGAAAATATTTCGTTTCAGAACCGCTCTCTTTTATGAAGTCATTATTTGGTGAAACACTCGAGCTTGAATTAATCCTGAATCGTGCGCATTTTGTTCTCTCATTGTGATGAGGATCACTGAATATACGAGAATTTCAACAGATTACGAAGAAGTGTCGCAAGAAATTGGTTAATGACGAAAATGTCGAGAATCTTTCGTTGCCTTCGATGTGAATCATTCCTTGCGGTCTGTCGTCTGTGATTCGAAATGACGAAAAAAATTCAGATTCGAAATTACGAAACATTAGCGAATGATGTTCGTTTGAGCAGATTAATGAATGCCAGAATCATATCAAATCATAATCACCTCCTCTGAACAACTTTATAAAGTTCGATTTCTTCTTAAATTTCTGTATCTTTGGAACTTGACGATTTCAATCGTCTCTACAACGCACTGTTGGTCTTTTTTTCCTGTCTCCTTATAAAATTTTTCGAAATATTACTTCAATATTTTTAATTTCTTTTGTTCTCTTTTGATGTTATGGATTAAATGACGAATCGAAATTAGTATAGAGAAATGTAAATCTGAACGCGAGAAAAAATGATGTGAAAATTGAGAATATCGGACTAAAATCAACAACAAATATTATTCTTATCAGTTAAAACTGATAACCGAGACGACAACGGATGAATGAATGACTTTCAACTCTTACTGCTAACAAACGTCAAGCATCAACAAAACAGAAGCTGTTTGAAATAGGAGTGAAAGGCATACAAACCAAGAAATATGAGGCAAAAGCAACAGAGGCAAGCAAAGTGATGAATTGATAATTTTTGACATGTGATGAATTGCATCGCGCGTATTATCAGCGATTCCACGCATCATCAGTAATAGAACTAAGGTGTGTGGTTTGCTTTCAAAAACGACAACAGACTACTCGTTTGGTAACGACTGACTGTGATAATAACAATAACATTAATAATAATCGTAAACGATAAGGCTATAAAATAAGGCAACAAAAACCTACTCAAACAATAATCAATCACTTACTATTTGTTCCAGGACCAGTTCGATACGGTGGTGCAGTTGTGGAGACATTTACAGGTGGACGTATGACGGTTCCGTTCGATTTTATTGAATGTGCTGAATGAACACTGGACGGCATCTGAAATTGTCGATCGCAATTTTTGTTTCAATCAAATTCTCAATAATTTCATTTCGTTTTGCNAATCTATTCTTATAGTTGTCTAGCACAGCAGAACTGTTGTGATTTAATGCATGCTGAACTGCAGGGGAATGAAGCAACATCACGAAGATGTTCAATAATTACCTTCCACTGAGAAAGTTGATGTGATGCAGTGAAATAGCCGGTGGGAGTTGTAGCCGCATAGCTGGATGGTATTATTGTATTGGGATAATAACAAGTAGGATCCATTTTGTAAGCGTTCGGCAATGCGACTGAGGTGGACGGAAATGGATCGGTGGGACACGATTCATTTACGGTGGTTGGGGAGGTAAATTGGAATTGGTAGGGAAATTCGGTGGGCCATCGCATTTCCGGTTGATACCTGAACTGCTGATCGGCGCTGCTGCTCGGATATTTCACTTCAACCGTTGTTGTGAAACGATTTATGGTTTCTTCGTCGTTGGTCACCCATTTGGGAGGTTGCGATGGCGGGTAGAAACACGAGGCTGGTAACATTGCTGCGGCGTTATCGAATGATGTCGTTGATAACATTCACAACTGGATCGATTCCTTAATTACGAATTTCTATGAGCAATCGGATCGCTGAACGAATAACGCCTAGGCTTTGATGCATCAATCGAATACTCCTTCAAAAGTTTCGTTATCGATAATACAATCACTTAGTAACGATAGTACCAATTCAACACAATCACAACAACAACATTTGGGTATATCAATTGGGCGTGACTCGAGTAAGCGACGTTCAATGGAGATAGTGGAGGGGCGGTGCTTAGCTACAGCATCCTTATCGAATGATTTTTGAGAAGTTCGATGTTGAGCTTGAAAGAGAATGGATGGTGAAGAGGGAGAGGCATCGCGCATCGTTTTTGAAGAGGATAAGAGCAATTGTTTATTGAGATCAAGATGTTCGTCCATGTGGTGGTATATTGAAACTCGTAAATCTTATATCTGAAAGCCTGGGTCATAATACCATATATGAATCGACACAATACACCTCCAGTGGAACGCACATTCTCAATTGTGCGCTCTTCTTTGAAATCATCCACTGCTTCGAATGATAGATGATACGTCATCCCTGCCTCACATACGAACAATTCTATCACTCTTCTTTTCCACACCTATCACATAACAGGTACACTATTCAAGAATGATGTCTGCTTCAAGTTCGTTCAGATGAGATTTTAACTTATGATTATAGTGATGGAATACGATGAGAACATCTGAACGTTAGGGAAGCAGTTTGAAAGATTTGATCGGAAAGAAGTATTTGAATTTGAGTTGAAATTACATGTTGAATGAGCGTTAAGCTGGTGGATTATTCCATTTGAGGATGTGATCGCAAATCTTGAACGAATTTTCATCAATTATGATGAGCAAAGAATTGCAGCTGAAGAAGAGCTTTGAAAGGAGCCAAAAATCATTTCTAACATCTTTCAAGCTAAAGTCACATTACCACGCTTTCGCAGCATCCACTGCTAAGTGCGCAATTCGAGTATGCAATCGCGCCTAGCAAAGTTGCAATCTTTATTTTTATTATCAGGCTGAAAGGTGTTTTATGAACCAGCTGATCATTCACAAATAATAACTCTCTTTGAGAGTTAGCACATAATAATTGGTGGCTGTATACGTTTGAGAGTC